GGTGACGGCTGACACAGTTTATGTGTTTAAAAGAAAACTTGCTCGTCTAGTTTTCGACAGAAATCGGCTTGTACAGCATGACTATGCACAGCCAGTTTTGTAAAATCTGTCATATACTATCTTCCGCATTAATTTACAGTGACCCCTTGCACTACCTTATGATTACGATTGAACTGTGACCCAATCACATTTTAAATGCCTGCAAATTTATTTTATTTTTGAGTATGAACCTGCGAAAGCACTGTACATAAATAGGGTCATCAAGGGCTCTGCCTGTAACCCTTCAATATATACATATACATATCTCTGCCCGAAATTAAGACTGCTCATGATAAGCTGAGAGAGAGTTAAGAGGTATAAGTAAACCTAGTTTTGTAGGATTACATTATGAGTTAGCAGGAAACTGCTATCCGGAGCTTAACGAAGTGTCGGACTTAGCTTAGTTCGGATTCCCACGAAGACCGATTATAACGTGCTTCTGTCAGTGAAGTCATCAAATTCAGCAGAAATCAAAGCCCTATTGACATGCTATCCCCACTGGCCAAGTCGTTTTTTTGCCTCAAATTGACATTTGATGGCGAACTTCATTTGAAACAGGGCTTGTCTTCATGCCCATTGGACTAACCACATACCAATAAATTCCGCAAATTATAAATAAACGCAAGCTCATACAGAACCTATTGTTGGGAGTGCCTACATTCCCAAAAACTACAACCAACCAATCACTGGAGATCACATGCGTCTACTCTCTCTACAGCGCTCTCATCTTGGTCGGGCGCCTCTTCGTTGGCTACTCCTCTGTTCCCGAAGGTCATTGGGTCGGCGAACTACAGTACGATGTTATAAATATGAGTCACCTTTCAGATAGTTGGACGTGCAGTAATTTTCTAATACACTTCCCGTGGCCGGCCGTGTTTTCTTTGTCTGCTGCTAAAGTATGAAAGACGAGTATCGAGTGCGTATACGCTCCACGGTATTTCAAGTACCAGGCGGACCATAGCACTTATTGGCTTGGTAAATGCAAATATCTACTACGCTACTACGTATGATACGAATTCGCCGACACGAGTGGGATTAGAACCGCAAACATCTCGAATGGGGGTTGATGCTCCTAACCACTTCGCCACGTCCGGACAGCTGGTGAACTAAAGAAATAATACACTCAGAAAATAACAACCTGCTCCTCTTTTGAAAATCGCTTTCTGCTTCCCGTGACGAGAACATATCGGAAATACTTAACTCGCTCCTATTAAGCGCAATATTTCCCCGACGATCAATCCCGAAGATCGCTGCACACCTCAAAAAGCAGCTACAAATAAGTCCAGCAATAAAATGTCCACATGCCGTGATAGAGAACGAGATCTTCCCAACAGAGCTTTGAGATAAGAGGCAGACTTTGCCCTCCCAAAAGAAATAATAGCAAAACTCCTCAAGCATAGCAAAATTACGCCCAGTACACGATAAAACGACATGGAAATCATAAATGACCCGGAACACAGGAGTCTTAAAAAAACAGTAAACGCCGATGGACGTCCTTTTAAACGAAACAAGAAGAAAATAAGGACGAAGTCGTTAAAAAAACCGCTGACTCAATCGACACCAAAGACTAGCAAAAAGAAAGCCGCCAAAAACGAAACTAGCTATTGCATTTCCCTAAGTTCGGCAAATCTAGAGCCTAACGAACTCGTCTGCGCGAACCTTATCAAGTCAACAGGCAGTAAGTATGTGGGTTTCTTCATGTTTGTGTATGCCTATAGACCGCCTCTGATGATTACGTACCCCAAAAAATCTCACCACTCAGAAATACAATTAAGGGTGGTGTTCACAGCAGACACTGTAAGGGAAACTCTTTTTCCAGTACCGGCATCGTGTAATTTACACGACGCGATGTCCGCCTAAATAACGTCTCAGAGAAGTAGTTTTGGCCTTGTTGATGTGCACGTCCCAAAATAATTCCATGTCGCCTATCGCCAACCCTCATCAGGATTCCGTTCTGGTCTCTGGAATTCCTATCTTAAACCCCCACTGTCAGCCACACCACGGGTCTACCATCATCGTATATCTCCATGCTCTCATCTTACGTTCATGGAGAATTTAACCTGCCCCTCCATATCTCTTCACAGAGAAAATTTTCGCGTCTTCTGATGATATTTCATTTTGACCCCAAGTGATCTGCTGACGATCACGGCAGATTCATCTGTTCTCGTCATCTGCTAGTTGTTTGTTCGGTCAATAAAGGAATTTCATGGTAGTATATTCACGCGCCTTGATCAACCTCGTAACCATTAGTGTCCTATCCTCGCTTGGATTCCAAACGGACCGTGACTGATGGTGTTGGGTCTCTCCTGTCTCGCCACCTTGACGGTTGCGTCAGCTGTCATCCCAACAATATTGTGACCACATCTGCAGTGGAAAGCTTCATAGACTTTTAGGATTATACCGAGGCGGGGGACGTTTCGAACCCTTAAATACTCTCACCTGGTGGATGGTTCGATCGGACCCGTATATTTACCTTCTCATGAGCGATAGTTTTTTATCCTTAAAACTTGTTAAGCCACATTTATTTTGACCTTTTTGAAAAATGGAGTAGTTTATTTTCTATTCACTAGCCGTTTCTCACCTCAGTCTGTCTACTTTATAAGCAAGAGCTGAACACTGAACATTGTCTGCATAATCTTTCCATAATCCCTCTAACATGCATTTTCACTAGTTCTTTCTCACCATAGAGTGCCATCATATGGGGAAGAAAGCGAAAGTTGATATGGGTCATTTTCAGATTATACGATTCTTTCGACTTCTGAAAATCGTGCGTCATTTCTTGCCCCAGACAGTTATTATTGGATATTTTTTACTATGCATCTCGTTCGCTTTTCTCTTTTGAGTGTACAGGTGCTTGATGAAACTGAAGGCCATTGTGTTTGCCGTCCAATTCGCCAGATGATTCTAAGTCAGTTTATTAAGGGAATGAGGCTTTCACCCTTGAGCTCCCTATTCATATCGATAAACAGAAATAAAGTCATCAATTACATCAGCAAATGCGAAAAGTTAAGAAGTTAGCGGTAAGTGTGAGCTAGGCGCAAACTGCCGCCGCTAAAACAATCATTATTGTATGTACAGTAGGTTCTCAGCAAATGGGAGTCCAGTCTGCACTTAAAGGATTTGACACTTTCAGAAAGAACGACGGCGTCAGGGAGTCCATTCCATGCCCCGATGACCCTGTGAGAGAAGGCGTTCCGTCGGACGTCCGAATGGGCCCGTTTCCTTTGCAGTTTGAACGGATGACCACGCAGACGGTCAGTCCGGGCCAATTCAAAGAATTCATCAAAGTCTAGGGCGCACTCACGGCTTCTGACAATCCTGTAGGTTTGAATGAGATCGCCGCGCAGTTGCCTGTAATTTAGAGGAAAGAGATTTAGTTCGGTCAGCCTGGTTTCGTAAGGCAAATGATGAAGATTCTTGACCATCTTCGTAGCCATCGCCTGTACTCTTTCCAGTCGTTCATAATCTTTCTTCAACCACGGTCGCCAGGCCTGGACTGCGTCTTCTAAGTGAGACCGGACGAATGCCCCATAGGTTTTTCCGAACAGCTCCTTGTCGATCTGCACAAATCCTCGCCTCAGCGCAAATAACACCCTTATCGCACTTTTGGCTGCCCTTTGACACTGTGAAGATGGTTTCAGCGAGGAGGTCATTAGGACGCCCAGGTCTTTCTGTTCCACATTATTTGAAAGGGGCTGACCACCAAGGACGTATTGAACATAAACAACTCTCCATAATAATAATATTTTTTATTCAAGACCAGTGTGGCTCCGTTCATAGCAAGCAAAAATAACTTTGACATTAATTTTAGAATTTTAGAACAGGTATACAGAATCAATATAATGCTCAATTCATAGTTATTGGATAAGTAGTATATTACGAAGAATGATGAACGCGCAGTGAAACAAACACCTAACATATAAACAAAATGATTATGCCTCAATTAACACTCTCAAAGATGGAAGACCGTCACTCCTGAATGTATAAAAAACAAGCAGGAGCGGTCTGTATGTGGCAGTGTATAACGGATTTCATGAAGGAGTAAGTAGGCGGGTCAGTCAGGAGTGGCCTGTATGTGGTATTCAGTAAAAGTTCGAAAGGGGCATCATAAAGGCAGAATTCATATGCCGGATGAGGATATTCATGTCAAATTGGCGAATAGAATACCAGTCTCGAGTCAATAGGAACCCATATGCAATTGGCTACAGTCAGTTTCAAATCCAGACGAGGAGGGGGCAAGGGAGATGTGACCAGATTACTAGTATATGGCGAAAAAAGAGGGTTCCGCCAGTAGCTTCGATATGACTTAAGTCATAAGGTAATACAGTTGATGACGTAGGGCACTATGAATATGTGATTTTCTGCCTTGGGAAATATTTTGCGACCTAGATAGCGTAATCTCGAGGACTGTTTTTTGGATTCCGATGTAGTTTAAGTCCTAAAGAAATTTGCTTACTTAGAGCTGGCTGGAGCCCTTGTGAGGTTATTTACTTCTGGACATCATCCTTACATGCAACGCGTTAGGACTAAGATAAGCACTAAGATTCTCTATCTTTTTGAAAGTAATAATCTCCCTAGGTCGAACTGAAGTTGGTGCTAGTCAGCAAGTTAGCTGCTACACATGCGCACATCACTGGAATGAGAGACCGTCATATGAAAAAAAACAGATCATTTCGCCAAATAAAGCTACTCGAAACGTCTAGCAGTGCGTCATATCTCAGGATTTTTCGATATATGTGAGAAATCAAACGAAAAATTCTGACCGGTCTGTTCCTGAGCTTCGTATTCCATTTGTTTACAAAAGCTGAACACATCACCGCTTATTCAAGTTGTTAGACTTTTTCGCCTGGTCTTGTCCGCCTGCCGATCTTGTTGTGCTGAAATATATCCTATACACTCTTCCTTTGACCTTGATGGCTGTCTGCATGCTTTCCTTTTGGAAATTATTTTAATCACCGTTAATGACAACCGTGAGCGCTGCTGTCTACAACCATAAAGCCGAAACAACATAGATCCTCGTAATATTCCGAGGGTTTATGACCTTTAAGTCTGATCTTTAGACAGGCAAAAAGATTGCCTCTGCCCTTGTTTCGACCAAATACTAATGGCAAGACTGCACTTTGATGGATTGTTAAGTTTTTTTCTGTGGATCGAGGAGCGAACGATGCTGCTTCAATACTCGCCACCTTTTGTAATATTGGCTCCTAGAGCCTTTCTCCAGCACGATCCCCCGACAACCCCTCCGTCTTTGAATCATAGACTGCACTTTCCATTCACAGAAGTCTAATGCTTTATATACCAATCCCAAACACGATTATTCCACACGTGCCCCATCACTGTTTATTCGTTCCATGCCCATGTGACTTGCAGCTGCTTGTGTTTAGTCTTCGTTGTCCATAGAATACAGAGTTAACATCGCGTCCCAATATCCAAGTGCCATATCCTTTTGCACCCCGCTCTAGGTGTATCTTGTATCAACACAGTTGCCTGCAGTCAGACAGTACCTCAGTGAGACCGCCTATCGCGACAATCTTCGCTTTACCTGCCGTCTTTAAACATATTACGATTTTCGACGTTGTCATAATTATAAATCGGTTCCTTATTTTTTATGTACTGATTTCGATGCCGATTACTTTAAATTATGTTTATGAGCAATGTGATCAGAGCGTTATTTTTTGCACTTGTCTAGACCTGGAAAATGGGGCTTTGTTGTGTAAAAGTTGCATCGACATCTGCAGCACCTACCGATCTAAATAAACCAGAAAACTGCATCCCCGATCCAGTATACTGTGCTGCAAATTCACCCACTAGACTCTCCATGGTGAAGAAGGAAGCACACAGTGCTTGTCAGAATCGCGTCCCTGTTCCTACTACTAAGTCCAAACCTATGCGGTCACAAAATTCTATGGAATATTCTAAGGTTGAGCAGCTATTAGATGCCAGTGAATTCGGCATCTGCGGTCTCCAGCATATATCCGAACGGGAACCTGAAAGTGAGTGACTTGGCATTTCCCCCCATCCTTCTTTGTTAACTGACTCCTCTACGTAATTTGCTTGTTAGGGTTGGTAGCTCATTCAACCTTGAAAAAGGGTCCTTGCGTGCTGGCTGTCTGCTATGACTAGCCATGTTTTAGCGGTTTTTTCGATCCACAACTTTTATTTTCAGTTTTTCCTCATTTTACTTTGACGTGCGTTCTGCTAAACACACACCTTCAACGGTTTTGTTGTTTACTTTATTTTCATCCACTTCACATATAGTTAGACTACAAAGGTCAACTTGTCCGTAGCGGTTTTGTCTTCATATTCCTCAAATCTTGCCACTGACAAGATCTTGTGGTATTTATGTGTCGGAGCGGCAACCTGGTAGACTTGGCGTTCGTGGTGTCATAGTTTATAAAGTTCGATGGATATTTGACTAAGCTCAAAGGTCCGCTAATAGTCTTGAGGCAAATTCCACTCCGTCAGTTACACCGATGTTTTCCTGATTGTTTCTGGACGCTGAAGCCAAGTAGTCGAAAATTGGAGGCAGTCACCTGAGTGTGTAGTATCCTATCTAACCTAGGTAAGTCTAAAATTTCCAGCATCCTGTTCAGAATTGTCTGTGCGATTTTTCGCGACGGACGAGGCGACAGATTAATACGTTTCTTGTAGAACGAAAATGGTTTTCTCACTAGCCTTCATGGAAGCTGATGGCCAAAGCATGCTACTTATGTTTATCCTCAGTGTCATCTCCAAGTTTCACATCCCTGGAATTTGTATTGGGCGCATACGTTGTGGATTGCACGACACGACAGCTGGGGCAATTAGATGAGCAGCAGTTTGGGCCTTTTCAGTTTATCTTCTTATTTCTCTCTTATGAGGATCTGTCAGATAGCACTTAGCGGGATTGACACTAAGCCCGCAGGATTAACTAGACATAGCGCAAAAGCTAAGTGTCTTAAGTCCTTTTTCCACCAACCCAACATTTTCTGACACCACTGAAGGTTCACATAGTCTCCCCAGGGCTACCGCAGCCCGTGACAGGACGGTGGTCGGAAATAATCCAACGAACCAGAACTAGAATTATCTCGGTATTCTAAACAGTCTGTTCATCCTTACCTTGTGACGTAGTATATGACCACTAACATATATGTCTTCTATTATCCTATGTTTTGGCGATCTCCAGCTTGTGTGTCACGGTCACTCCATCGGGCACATGTGACGCTCTATAACTAGATTAACGCAGCCAAAATGGATTCGTTTTTTTCGAAGCTTTCGTCCACACCAAGAGTTTCGAACTTCACAACAGGAATAAGGACGCCTCGTCATTTAGTTTATTCACCCCTCCATCTCGGCAGTACCAAAAACTGCCGAATGGCCGAAGTCAGCTGATGGCAAAAATACTGAGCTGAAACAGCGGCCTCCATGGAGCGGGCCTCAAACGTTGGTGACACGCAAAAACTGTGCCAAATTATCCGCCAATTTAGTGGCAAGCTCTCGACACGTAGTGACTTTGTTCGCGACGTGAATGGCGGTTCTGTTGCTGACAACTCGGCCAAGGCCGATCACATGGGCAATTCGAGCATCCTCTCAACTCTGACGAGCCACCCACCACACCCTCGCTCTCCTCTGCAGCCGTATTTTATCTTTCTCCAGCCTGTACAGTGTCGTGCGACTTTCCTTCTGAGGCTCTACAACAACAATGTGCCCAGAGGGCGGTATTCGGGTTAAAATCGACAAGTCTTGTGTTGACACTCTGGAGCCCCGGCTTTGTGATGTGATTGGGCAAGTGCAGGCAAATGGGGTCTTTCCCGATGACTGGGGCTCGGGTATCCTTTTGCCTGTCCTCAATAAGGGAGATAAAACCAAATGCAAGAACTACCGCGACAGAAGCCTTATCGACGTTGTCGTGGAGATCGTGACTGTTATCCTTCTCAGATAATTGCAGTCTGTGCGCGAATCTAGGGCGATGCCCGAATAAGCCGGTTTCCAAGCTGGGCGGGGATGCGCGAACCAGGTATTCACACGGAAGCCCATTTTGGGATTCCGTCATGACTGTATCCTACCGACGGTCGTCTGTTTTGTTGACGTCGCCACTGCCTTTTAATCCGTCCATCGCGAATCCCTGTGGAAAATAATGGAACTAGATGGTGTGCCTGCCAAAATCATCGCAATGATCAAGGCCTACCACCGTTCCACCACGGCGCGACTTTTGGTCCATAACAATCTTTCCCAACCGTTAAATCTCCAATCTGGTGTTCGACAAGGTTGCATACTTTCGCCCATTCTGCTCAACTACGCCACTGACTGGATTCTCGGATGGGGCCTGCACGGTTTTTACGGTGTTGAGTTTGTTCGCGGACGCCGGCTTACTCATCTCGACAACATTGACAATATTGCGGCCTCTTAATTCCCACAGGAATTAATCGCTGACTTGGAGTAAGTCAGTCTGAGTTAGGCTTCAAGGTTTAGGCCAAAAGTTAACATGCATGTTTCGGATGAATTCCATCAGCGACAGCGAGATAACTGCGTAATATTCATAGACTCCCAGTAGATGGCCAGTAGTATGTACGCAGGTTGCCTGATGCACCATACCTGACCGCACAGGTACCAGCTAAAAGCCTTGCGAACTTCAAGCCGTGGTGACCTAGTCTATGGTCTCACAGGTGAATAAAATCCATACTTCGTTCGCTTTATCCAGAAACGTTGGGAAGATAATATCGTTTTCGAATCGTATCCCTGACTAGAAGAAAGCACCCCTTGGACTAAATGGTCGTCAACTTGAAAAAATAGATAATGCCAGACATTTTGGGACGAGGCTTCCGCTTAGTGGACAAGCAAGGACGACATTCCGAATCGATGTTGCTTGCAGGCTCTTCTTAATCCATAGAATGTGTCTATGGACCGTACGCGACATCTCCATCCCCACGACGCTCCGCGTGTATCATGGATCCGTCTGGCCATTCCTCTTCTATGATTGTGAATGTTGGGAGATGAGGGAAAACTGGAGACATTGGATCATCGCTGCCTGATGACCAACCTTCTAGTGAAGTACACCGACTTCGCCCCAAATGACAGTCCTCACTCGCTGCGACAATAGTGTCAGGGTGTCGCAGGCCATCCAAGAGACACGACTGAGGTGGTTTAGATAGTTCTTCGTCGCCCGCCTCACCAGCTCTCTGTTACTCTCAATGATCCGGCGTCGTTGCCTACTTGGAGGCATCGAAGAGGAGGTCAGCGGAAGACCGGACTCGACACAGTTCGCTAAGACATGAAAGTGGTTCATTGACCTTCGGTATTCGGTCTCCGTCGCTGGAGAAGAGAATGGCTGAGCCGTCCAGATCCGCTGACACAAATAGTCACGCGTAGAGAGGTACAATACGTGGCATCATCGAGGGTGGCTAGATCAGTCATGGTCACAGCCTTACTAAGTAAAAGGTCACTTTTATTTGCAAATGGGGAAATCGCCTAGAATGACCTCGTCACACTCTTGTTTTGCTCTCCGATATTCAAAATACTTTGGGCGATGTGCATTTCCAGCCGTCGGGAAGTAGCCACCTCTGTGTCTACGTAGCTGTATGCCGTTTTATTGAGTACTTTCATGTAGAAATAAACTGGTAGTGAACCTTTCCCAGGGTTTTCTGCCCTCTTCTTCCTGCGTTTACTCTGAAGATGCCGGTCACGACCCCATTTCTTATTGTGCCTAATTTTTGTCTTAGAACCCTGATTTGTGTTTATATTGCACTTTACCTTTTATGTGCAGACGAGGGAACAGATCCAACAGTCAACATCAAACTGCTCCCACTCTTCATGAAATACGAAGGTAAATCTTTTCTTTGGACTGTATAAATGTAAATATTTTGTCTTTTCTGTTCTCTGCTCCTCGTTTATCTTCTGACTACCATTACTCAAAAAACTCATAAACGATCGGCCTAGGTATCTTGCCAGTTCTGATTCATCATACCACGTAAGAAGTTTACGTAGTTATCGTGGAAATACTTCCGGCTTATGTAATCAATTAAAGAGACAGCTCCCAGTTGCAGTATGACTTTCAGCTTTGCGGAAATAATCTCCACCGAGATAACGGACCAGTTTTTCATCATTTTCTACGAAGTCTTCATTTGAGCCACTTTCAAGCTCATAACAAGAACCCGACAATACGTTTTGGTCGTCTACAGCAGATTGCGCCCAAAGGGACCGCCAGTTCGTTTTGGACAGTCATTTATTCAGAGCAAATGTTGATGCACAAAACCACGCCACTTTGCCCCGCGTATGTCGATAGCATTCGGTCTAATCTGGGTCGGTGATTTTTTGATGCCAGATGTCAGGAAGACAAGGCTGCGAGGCGACCGCCCTCTCGCAATCGATCGGCAGTACCTTCCTTGCGTGGAAACTAACCAATGACAGTCTACCCCACTTTCGTCCGAAGGAACACTTTTCCACCATGTCTGCCGTTTCCGCCTACGTGCCAACACCAATTGCCGACCGGCGAAATAAGGGAACCTCCTGTTCGCAGCTTCGTACTAGTACTGGGTATAGCTCGGATCATGCCTTATCTGGCCGGCCTCGATGATGTCGCATGTTGTTGTTTCCGCGCCTGACAATCCCAGCGTCGGATCTGGACAGCTCGACTCTTTGAAAGTTCCCCTCGGACGCTGTAGCAAAGATCTTAGCACTTGGATCGGACATTTTCACGAGGTTTTCTAGGGCACTTGGGTACAGGCGGGTCCCCAACAGTCACTCGGATTGTTTGTTCGGTATTGTTACACTATTTCTTTGGCCAAGAACTTAACGATAAGGCAGTGGTGGTCAGCAAATCTGTTTAATATCGGCTCACTGGTGCCATGTCACTGTGCCGTCATCGGGCTTTGTGACACTTTGTAAGGCAGTCGGCGTGCCGGACCTCCGTTGCTGGCCCGCGACTGTTTATTTGCCGGACCCAGGAGCCTGCTAGTTTTTCAGTTAATCTTCGCTGAAGGCCGTTACACAATCCGCCACTTGCAGACATGCCGGGCAGCCAGCAGTTAGGAAAACCGGTTGAGTCTCGGTTTGATATGCCAGTTGTCGGTAAGTGGGGTGGTTAGATAATGATGAAATTACGAGCCCGGCTGATCGGAGCCGGCTGGTTTTTATCCACTCATGCCTGCAGCATTGCCACAAGCAACTGCGAACCTGCCATTCAGTTGGTATTCGCAAAGTTAACCGGGTTAACTTCATTCAAGCCAACTCAGGGTTCCGTAGTTGGAACCCTGACGGCAAATTAGTGCCTGGAACCGAAACTGGCAACGCCCATGGATCAGACAATGTCCTTCTTCGTACAAGCCTGAAAAATCATCTTCCATCCGTGTCCAAAATGTCTCCTATAAAACCCATTGATGTCATAAAATGTCAACAACCCAGCACAGCAAGGGATTTGAGCACAGTCCGAGTCGAAACCGAAGTGTGTGCCAAATTACCATCATTGAAGTCCTTAGTCAAAGAGACAGCTGAGGAAATTCTTAGATCTACCCAGCAACGTCGCAGTGACTGGATCGGCCCAAAGGCCTTACCACTGCCCACTCAGGCAATTCGAGCTAGATCACGGAACAGGGATTCCTTCTGCCGAATCAGAGAAATGGCATCAAAGTCAGCTATACGCGACAAAAAATGCGAAGTTTCAGCCAGACGGACAGCGGAAGGACGACGTCTCACGAATCGATGCCGCCCGTAGAGGTCTCATGAGCCCTGGAAAGTGTCTATAGAATCGGCGCGATACCTCAAACTTGCTCGCGGGCTGGCCATCCGTGTTGCGAGTCCTTCCTTACGGCTGTGAATGCTGATTATGCTCATGGAATATTGACGGAGACTGGAGGCGTGTGACCACTGTTGCTTGACGACCAACCCTCCAGTGAAGTACGCCGGATTCTTCTCGAATAAAACTTTTCGCACTCGTCGCGACACACCTCCAATATATCTCATACTATCCATGATAAGGTGGCTTGACACGTTCTTTGTCATCTGCTCCATCAGTTCAGTGTTACTGTCCTTGATCCAGCGCCGCTGCGTATCCTAAGGCAGGTCAGCCCAAAACCTGGTTCAGCACAGTCCGTCAAGGCACGGAGGTGATTCTCTGGCCTTCGGTATTTGTTCTCCTTAACTGAAGTAGAGTGTGAGTCTTTCCCTCCACAACCGCTGCAGCAAGTTATCACTCGTAAAGGAGCGCAATCCACCAAATCGTCGAGGCTGTGTAAATCAGACCTGATCATTGCCGCGACACGCGCTAGTTGTTCAGTGGCTTCCTTGTGGGCAAAAAATAGTCTTGTGGGCCCGACTGCAAGTTTAGTTTACTGCGGTAGTTTTTATAGTCCTACCTTAAGATCTTGCCTCTTCTGTAATCCGCGAAGGATAGTAAGCCCTAGAGACAAAGCTCGGACAGGCAAGTGCTGGAGCCGTCAAAGTGGTGAAGGAATGTTGGGCGCTTTTGAGGCGGTTGTGTGGAGAGAATGGTTATTAAGGGTCAGTTCAGCCTCATCATACAGGCGCTGCTAAGTCATTGACGCTATGCAAGAATTTGTTTTTCATTCATTGGCTGCATGCGTATTCGGGTGAAAATTAATCATTGCCGACCAGCTTTACAAGGCAGGCCTGCTATAAATAGTAGCGTGAGGGAGGTATCGTGCTGTGGCGCAGCTCTCGGTTAATGTTTCTCCGTTGCATTTGTTCGAAGGATGCGTGTCAGGAGACCACTGTGAAAAACTAAATGAGACTATCTTGCAACTAGACTACGTCAGGTAAATCCTGGATAATTATTGCAACCGACTGTTTTTTTGCCGAATGATTCCCAGTTAACCGGAATTCGCTACATCTGCTAACCTGTCGTTTCCCCATTTATCACGTAGGTCTGCTGCACAGTTACAGTTGAGGCTAGTTTGCCCGCCCTCAGCCTTTTGAAAATTCGTATATATGGCTTTAGTTAGTTAACATTTTTCCCAATGATCGTCTTGCCCTTCTCCTTTTAGCCCGTCTATCCAATCGTCAAAGCGTAAGTTAATTATTGGTGATCGCAACCGTCTCCTAGTCCCTTTATGCCCGGTAGTCTGGCTTTTTATGCTTGCATTTGAGCCTTATCTTCTACAATAGGTGTTTTTCGGGAATATGAGTAATTTAATCGTCCCATTTACGCAAAAGTCCGCGAACTTTGCGGAGTTTGGATTCGCAACAGGGAGGCAAGGCTTGAGTTCAGCTAAAACCCATGCCATCCGAAGACATGGGGCCTCCACCGATAGCCTTGGGCTAGTCGAACTTTGGCTATGTTGCCCGCCCAGCCTACTGCAAATTATGGAACCCACCAATTCGTGTGTTTGCTCTTTATAAAAAAACTTTTGCTTGGGCGCATCTGCTTTACGAAAATCGATCAGGAACGATAAGAAAAAGCATATTTTTCACAATTTTTCGTATGCGCATTTTTTTAATCCTGTCCAGGAAATCACACATGCCCGACCGTTGCATAGTTTCCTATCCGTTGCGGCCAAATGATCAAAATCAATTTCATCTTTAGTGTGCGATGTCTCAGGAAGTTGACTTTCACCTACCTGTTTCGATTACAGGACAGGATGCACGCGATTGTTCATTCCTTTGATGCTCTAGTTGAAAGTGTTTGTACAACAACGAGCATCCAGTAATTGGTGATGTTACGGACAAAGATAAGAGAGGCTGCAATGGGAATTTCTGGATTATTTAGCGGCATCAGAAAGCTGTTGTCCATCCCCATGCCACTGGAGGGTTGGTTCTCGGACAGTAGCGGTTACACGCATCCAGCATTCACAGCCGTACTGGAGAAGTTGCCGCACGGATGGCCAGCCCTAGCGGGAGTTCGTGGCCATGAACATATCGTTTCGGCTGCAAGGACATTTTCTAGGGATCGTGCATGCCCCATGAGCAGCATCGATTCGTGAGACAACACCACCCTTACCCTGTCTATCTGTCGGAAACGGCGCTTCGAGGTATTTGAAACTATTTACTTCTTTAAGCTGACAACTATTAGTCCCGAGAACTGTATCCTCCTGCTCAGAAATTCGGCTTTAAAACGCTGGTTTTCTCAGCGTTGGTAGGTAATTCGACGGATTTAACTGTTCCATCTATTCGTCATAGGGCACTTTTTAGGTCATGATAGCTTGACGCTAGATGGGCGACATTTTCAGGGTAGTCGAGGCCAATCAACCTGTGTACGCGCGTGAATCCGACATCAGCAAAACCACATTGTGCCCCTCCGAGAATGTAGCCAATGGCATAGTTGAAGGGGTTGGGCGACAAAACACAACGTTGACAAATGAAAGGCCAGGCATCAGACGGCTGCGAGAGATTGTTGTAGTCCCGAGCTCATAATGCAGGCCCCGACCACTGCGCTCATATTCTGCACTGTCGTTGCGGGAATCGGTTTTCATCAAAGCATCCACTTCTCCACACAGGACATTTTCACTATTGTGCAAGAGTAGAATAAAGCGGTCATTTGACTATCGCCACAATTCATTGCTGGATGGGATTATTGTTATGTTTGAACGGAGGCGTCTTAATACTGATTTCCGTTAAAGTGTATCTAAGACAGATTAGGCAGCCGTCCCCTCATCCGTATCGTACGAGTTGTCCTTATATGTCTCAACTCTCCTTCGGCATCTTAGATCAGTAATCTGAAAGTCAATGCTACCTACGCTTTCTTCCTCTCTGTCTGTATCTCCCTCAGCCTTCGGACTTAATTCTTTCTCATTTTGGTCCCCCCTTCTCTTCCCAAATCAGCTTTCACGCCAGTTTGCTGGACTGGAGCCTCGCAGGTACAATTCCACCTCAACAGTCTTTATTGACAACTCCACATGCTCAAAACCGGACCCCAGAGCCACGCTGGTGGCGGTTTCGCGTGCCGTCTGTCTCCTCATGATGGATGATGATCAGAGCGGTGACTCCGCGGATGAGGCGATTTTCGACGACAGAAATTATCCCCTCACTGTACGTACCGCTAGTTCGCTCTATTTCTATCTCTCTCTCTTGCGGTCGGTCGGCTTGCCCATCTGGCCGCCTCGGCTGTTCGCTCCCTATCTTGTCTGTCTCATCAACTTTTAAGGTGTCTCAGACTCCAAAACATTGCTATAGGAAGCCTTCTCTTCCCGCTTTACACGACATACAAGTGTATTTTCGATTGGAAACGATTACTTAAGTAGGGTTTTAATATTAGCTGTTGTGCAACGCGATCCCAAGATATTTCCGTCACATCAGGATGCCGGCTTCTGAGCGGACTTCTTTCCAGTCGTCTGCAAAAAACACTGTGAAACATGACTATTTAAGTAGCATGCATCTTTTCTCACCGATTTTCGCTGCCCTTGAAAATTTAAATGTTTTTTTAAAAATTATGAACGGAAATTTTTTTCTTGTGCCCGTTTGGTGGCAGATGACGTCTTTTGCAAATTTAATACTTGGGGAAAGGGTACAGTAGCTGTGATAACTCATGAAATGCCATGAGTTATCACTGGAAAATCCGTATAACGCAGATCCATCCAAACGGCGTTCCTCAAAATTTTACAGCACTGAAGACGACCGTTCTCAAAAAGAAGGTATAGTTGGATTTATAAATTCATATATAATAACGTAAACATAATTAATCTTCACTGAAAACTATGATTTCAGAAAATGGCTATATTACAAATCGTTTAACTAAGGTAAACTAAAAGGTTGCCTAAGATTGGGTGACGCATGAAGGGAGGAAAATAATGAGTAATAATAACATGTACAAAAAGCAGTACCTCGTTGGTTGTCGATTTGCATTTAACACATCGGATAGTCTCTCAGACATGGATATGTCCAGGTTGTCTACAGTCGATTGTCGTCTGATTCTCATGAAAACAAAATCGAATTTTCCGTTCCGAGAAGGGATCTATTTCGTACGTTTCCTGTTTATATTGATCTTAGTTGACAGCACAATGCGCATAAACATGAGATTTTGATCTGCGATTTTTAATGGCATAGGAAATTACCTGGATATCAAAAATGCCAGATTTCGCCCAAATCTGACCGACCTTCCTTAAAATGAATCCCTCTTCAGTAAATGGCTTTCTGTGTCTCAAATAAACTCAATTAATACTAACAACAACATCAAATGTATAACATACGTCTCACTCAAATTCCGATCACATTTCATGAGTTAGACTATCTGCAACTGCGCAGAAGTCAATCCATGACTACTGGCCTTTGGAACAATGTCTAATTTGAAAAATGCACCTATTCACCAAGGGTCGCCGTAATCTGACCTGCTTTCCTTTAATACGACTGAATTAAAATAACTTACTCTTTAGTGAATAGCTTTCGACGTCCCAAATCAGTTCGGTAAACACAAGTAAACACTCCAAACTTAAGTCTTACATCTCACTCAGATTTCGGTCACGACATTTCATGAGTTAGACCAGCTGCATCTTTCGGTTTAAAAAACTTTCAGTTCCCGAATAGTTTCGAACCCGACCTGCCGTTGCACTTTCGATTAGGGTTTCAGTCAACATGCTGTATACCTTCCTTGCAAAGAAAAACACATTCCTCCATACCATTAGGCAGAAACTATATGGGACTCATAAAAGTTTGCACTGGATGTGGACCATATCACATACTTTATAAGCTTTACGCCACATAATTACTCACCTGAACCCAAAAATGTCACTTTAATCGCCAAGAGAGACAGAAGTAACTATTTTAACATATCTGCTACCGCAATCCTCCAGTCATTGCGCTTTAAATCAGACGCTCCACCACTGAGCCAGGGATTCACGCCGTGTCGGCTATGCTCGGTACTAAAGTCCATGTCTATCGAAATGGCCGAACGGACGAATCCACCTTGTCATGAGCTTCAGTCTGGAAGCCACTCAGGAGGTGGCCTACCGGCGAGCAACTAGTAAAGCAGAAACATTATTTACAAAGACCGATACGGCTGTTTCTGACCCATTTGCTCCTGTTGAGCAGTTATATCACGGTCCCAGGTGCAAGTAAAGCTTTTGCGACATAGTGGCTTTATTGGTTTTCTTGTAACGAATTTTTGAGCGTCTTTTCATTTCCGAGTTTTTAATGATTCATGCATATACGAAGACGATCTCTTCTAATGCAGCCTTGCAAATCGTTGTACTACCCTACTTGCCGTTACTAATTGTTGGGGAAAACCGGAGAAGGCAATACCTGTCCGTACGTTTCATGCTTACTCACCCGAAGTTTATGGGGTGCTCAGGTGGGAGGTGCACCTTGCCAGACCGGCAGTCGTCCAAATCCCCTGCCGTGATGCATGATGCAGTGCTGTGTGCAACTGTCAAGCCTTGTCAAGTCGTCGAGGCTGATTGAAGGCTGAAGAGCGTTATCTGCACCACATACACCAACGTCCTTGGGCCTGCGTGTCGATAGCACTAAGATTGGGTCGACGACAGTTGTAAAAATATTCAGCACCTGCTGTGTGATAGGAGCCAGCTTTATAAGGTTGAATTTTCCTACTGCAGACTCGAACTACAACTACTGACTGGCTGACTGACAAGGCAAGGATACGCCGACCCTGGTGAAATGGAGAGCATTTTCGCGCACTTCAGGGCCTTATGTAGTCCCCATCCCACCTTAACCGCCCCTCTACTCAATTTAGGCGAAATCACCCTGCTTTCGTCAAAGTCGCAGATTAAGGAGTTTTGGCAGAGCACTTTTGGAACGTCTTCAATCACCCGTGTTTACTCTGCGAAGAAGTAATTGGCAGACTCCCTCAGATGGAAATCAACGATGGGTTCAATTTATTTCAGCAGATTCCCGAGCGGACTATCCGGGAACCTGACACGGTCCCGACAGAAGTCTAAGAATACAATGCTTCAAAATATCCAAATATATTAATGTTCATGCTCCAGGTAATGTGGACATAAGGACAAATTGCACAGGAATTCCAAGATGTCACCGTTGTCCATCTTTACAAGTGAGGGTACAGCCGCCAAATTATTGACAATAACCATGAGGTTCCTTCTCCTGGTAGTGTTCGAACTCTCCTCAATTGCCTGAGTGCGCACCCGTCGGCAGGACTTCCCAGAGCCTTAGTTTTTTCTTCAGAAGCATCGCAACACTTGTGGGAAAAAAGGGTGGGAAATAGAAATCGGTCGCCAGACTGCTTTCTGGATTCCAAAAAATCCCTCGACACGCCCGTGGTCAGGCAGCTGCACGACAGCATGATGGTCCGCGATGCAGACAAGGCGTCAACCTTGGAACCACTCGTAACAGATGGAATACAGCCCCTACCCTCTTCAGTTTCGTGGTTTGTACAGCACTTATGGACTCATCTGTTTGGGGGTCAGCCTAATTCAAAATCAATTATCTATGTGGCTGGAAGCTGTTAAACATTCGTGACATGCGCTACATCTGGGAAATCTCAAAAAACCAGAATAAACGACCTTGTCTCCACCGACAACCGTGTACTGAATACCGCAACTGAATCGAGCATGCTACGAAAGTTGGACCTCTTCGGCTTTGAATGTGCAAACTTAAGATTAGCTATACATACGGAGTTACAGTTGGTATGCGTTAATTGGCACTCACAGCCACCGTCAACGGCAGTGGATCAGTTCTCTTATCTTGGAATCGCCATCTCACGAAACATCAAAATCGACGACGAAATTACTGCTATGATCCGCAAAACCTACCAGGCATGCCGTATACACCAATCCTATATATGGAATCGCTAGGACATTCTCCGCGTCACCTAGTTGAGGCTATGCAGGGCGATAATCTTGACGGTTACCTTGAAAACTTGAAAACCTATAAAACCATGGCTTTGCAGCTGTTGAACTTGGGCACCTTCGAAGAAGTTTACGTGTAGGTATAGTCGTTTAAACTTGCGCATCACTTTGTAGGTCAAGGAAACTACTTAAGGAATTTCCCCCTCTTCCCCATCGCACTCCTGTTGCGTAACGTGACGTCCTTAGACTTCTCGGGGCGGAGTTAATTAGAACCACTGAAATTCCTAGCAGGATGTTAACGCAGTGCGGAAATCAACACGTAAGTTAATAAGGCACTTTCAACGGGATCGGTACAGTTTCATCCGACAGACATGTATCGATTGAAGCTGTTGTCAGTGTTTCCAGGCAAAAGCCGTATCGATAGGGCGAATCCACTTATCCAGGGTGGCTCATAAGGCACTGCGTTGGTTTAGATGAACGCATTAAGATCCACATCTGACTTTCCAAAGGCACTTGCTAGGCACCAGTTTAGCGAAAGAATTTTCATTAACTGAGATGAGCGCTTTATTCTGTTCATTGGCGTCAGAAATGGAAAAAACTTCTGTTCATTTTCAGAAAAAGTACTTCCAAAGTGCTGTGGCACCAGCTACAGGATCAGTTATAACGTATCAATTAAATTAACCCCTCTTTCATCTCCTTATGTAGGTCGGAGGCGAAAACGACGATCCCACCCGGCTGCACAAGTTTGTCTACAAATTCATTTGGAGGCTCTTCAAGTGCGCCAAACTCTCCCCGGAGTGCGCTATCGTTGCAGTTGTATGTCGATCTACTCACATATTTTTCTTTACCCATAATCGTTTTCAATCGCTTGCCATCGCCTGCATGCAGTAGACGCCGATGCCCAGGAAACATTACCTGAATTATCTTCAAGTAGTAGTATTACCAAGTCGAGGGTCGGGCTGAAGTGGCACCTTCGAAATGTGGCCTCTACGACACCACATCACGCAGGTTAGGTCGGAACTGCTCTTACAGAAGTCGCGTGCGGGACGTGTAGACGAGCTACTTAGTTTTGTCAGTCTCTGCGCCCACACCGATCTTGACATTGTATTGCCATCGGATTGAGGGAGGAGAGAGTGCGGCAGATATTGGGCAAGTCTTCTTCATCAATGTAGATTGATTCACGCACAAGTCGTCGCCGCTGTGAAGCACACGGTAGACATTTGTGGTTCGCGAAGGTCGAACTGTCACCAGATTCGGCGACATAGGAACTAATCAAGAGTTACGTCCTGCCGGTGCTGGATTTTGGATGATGATCTTTCAGGTCACCCGCCTTATTTTGACCCGGAAATAGAATTACCGGCTAATAATGTGTGCGATAGCTGGTCTATTCCATGAAGTGTTAGCGTAGACTCTAAAATGTATTTTTGATTAGAATCCAAAGATGTTTCAGTCACGCCACGTTACCGGCTTTTGAACGGGCTTCTTTCCGGCCGCCTGCGAAAACAACACGCTGTAAAAATGACAAGTTAAATAGTATGAATTCTTCCTACTAGGTTTCGATGCCCTTATAGGTTTAAGTATGTTTTTTTGAAAAAATGCATAAAATATTATCTCTTGTTCTAATTTGGTCTTCTTCGAATGTTATCTTTGAAGAAAGAGTGTCTTTCGACTTTATCAATTCACGAATAATTTCGAACCCCATCCACAGTTGCACTCGCTCCTGGGGTTTCTAAGCTACGTGCTGCATACTTTTCGTGTGGGTGGAATCATATATTTTTTACGCTATTAATAGGACGTCCTATGGGCCTAAGAATGTTTGCAATTGATATAAATGATAAATACAATGTTGCACGGATGGAAATTTTTCGGTCTTGCAAAAACCCACAATTCTAAACCGCAAGGTGCCCTTTCCTCAAGTCTAATCTTTGAAGAAGACCTAATTAACGCATGAAATAATGTTTTTATGCATTTGTTCTGCAAAAAATATTAGGATTTTTAGAAACATCGAAAATTCAGTGAGAAATAATTCATGCTACTTAATTTGTCATTAATTGCAGGCTGTGGTTTTTGTAGGGGAACGAAAGGAAGTTCGTTTAAAAGCCAGCATCCTAACATGACTGAAATATCTTTGGATTGTGCTGCACGATAATCTGCCTTACAACCCCTTCTAAGTAATCTTTTCTAATCGAAAACACATTTCGGAATTTCAGTTAACATTTCATGAGATAGGCCAGCTAGTGTACTTTTGCCCTCGATTTTTGCATTTTTAAAATCATATTTCCTGGAAGAGTTGTGCAGAATTTCCCTTCGTCAGACCGCGATTGCTGAGGTTTGCGCCTTCAGGCCATTTTGAAGGGACATATTTGTGATTGAAGATTTGGTTAAACACTGGGCCATGGACATTCCGTATCACAGGTGAACTTGCTCGAATTCTAGGACGCGGTTAATGTCGGGTTTAGAGTTAAGGTTAATGTTGGGTTATGTTTAGGACATGGGCTTAGTACCCCCTGGAATTTAACACGAGGCCACCTACAGTACGCGGGGTCAATATTTCCGTGTCTGACCAAAAGTTCATTAATTCCTTTGTGTTCTGAGATGGTCTGAGTTTTCTGCCACCGTGATTTCAAAACTACCTATTGTACATTTTCTTTGACAAAAATGTGTATCTATTTGTCTCTAAGCACAAAAATACGTCCAGTTTTTCGTTACAAGTCAGAGTCCACGCGCACCACATTGCACGCCACATTAACGCATTGGTTGATCTGAGAAATTGAGGACACTTTGTGAAATTAACGAAAAGTCCCATATAAGCTAGGAGCCGGCCCAGTGCATTGAGCCAACTGAGCCCTCCAGAAAAATGAACCACATTGAGCAAATAAAAATCCCTAAAGGGCGTTCTAAGTAGCCTCCGTTTGCTCCTAATGACCATTTTTTGGTCAGATGTGGTTATGTTGCCCCACTTTAAGTAAACATACCCCAGCCACCTGTAATACTGGAACGTTGGTAATAGTGGTTTTTACAGGTGGGGCCGGGGAACGCGCAGGCGACGAGGTCAAGTAGTTGTATGCAAAAGAAAAGCTATTGGGAATGCGCGGTTGTACTTTAAGTGGTTGACAAATAGTTGCCCAAGCCGAACAGTATTGTGTCCATCAGGTGGGCTATATAACCTCATCTTACTCATTTTTTGACCAAGTACGAAAATTCGTTTCAGATGAATCAGTGGAAGTACGTAGTATACGTGAAGGCTAGCAGATTAATTAATGGAATATGCATAATGAAGTTCTCAGATACCATTTCAGACAATCGTCAGGTTGGATATCCTTGAAGAATTAATCTAGTCTGTCGAATGGCAGTTGTGACAGTTCGGCCGTCGTTGCCGGCAGTGTCCACCGTGCGCTCCAAAGCAAGGTGGCAGCAGGCACGGTGACTTGTGCTTTAGTTTATAGCGGTAGCAGGCTTGCACAGCGTATACCGCATTGTCTCCTCCCCGCCTGATCCCGGTGTCAAGAAAAAGTCAAGAAGACCGGAGGTAGGAGAGGGCGCAGGTGGCTGCCACGGTCAGGCTAAGCAGTTAGTCAAACGTTTTCAGCATGATGCGCAGGTCAAGATGTCTATTCTTCGCAACTGGCCAGGGAAAGATTATTTTGTTGGATTTCCTGGTTGGCGAGGTCACAAGCGTAAAAGCTTTCGTAAGGTCACACAGCCGTAATCCAGCAACTGGATAAAATACTGGGCATGATTGCCAAACGCAGTTATTGAGCGTAGCATTTTCTTCGTGTTTGAAGATTCGTCATCCCCAAGACTGTCCATCTTCCGAGGGACGTTGAGTGTCGGGGTGCCCGTGAAATCTTAGTAGAGTGCAGTTTTCGGTGCCCCTAATTGGTCATCAGGGAGGACGGTTTCTGTATTCAGTTGTCAAGATGTTCGAGATGGGACAGCTGTAGGAAGCTTTTAGCTATGTGCTGTATTTTCGAAAGTCCTTTTGCATGCAAATGACGGTTTAGACCTTATTGATATGCTGTTCTAAACCATTCACCAATAAAAGTATACTTTCACAGCGAAGACTCTGATGAATGTATTCTTGTTAGGTTTCCCCTTTAAAAAAATTGTCTGGATGTGATGAGTCACAGGTGAATGCCCGTACCACTTATAGCAAAATAATGTCAGAGAGCAAGTTGAGCATTTTTACCTGCCGACTCGACTGGGACTGATGAGTCTTATACAGCAAACCAAAGAATTCGTTGACCCGTCTTTTAGGTCCGTTTTAGTCACCTTGACAAAATTCTAAGCCCTATTCTGCCATTTTAGTTTCGTTACTAAATGATCTTATAAATACTAAAATGAAGTCACTGCCGCTCTCCTGAGGTGTCAGCCGAAATTCTCAAATGCGTTTTCTATTAGGATTACTTACGTGGGGTTGTGATCTTGACTGTATTTTAGTATAATCCCGCCATATTTTGGACATGCCAGGATGTTGCCTTTTATATCCACTTCCTTAAGGCCGCCTGAAAAACCACATTCGGCTGAAACTAACTTTTTGAGCAGTATTCCTCCCCTACATTGATTTTAGATGCCCCTATAAATTCAAATGTATTTTGTAGAAAAGCTTAATAAACGTATTCTTGCACTTATTTTGTAGCAAATCATGTCTTCTTCAGACTTTATTCTGGAAGAAGGGGTATCTTTGGGTTTTAGGAAGTTTTTCTATTTTCGAATTATGGTGAACTCTATCTGCCATAGCGTTTTTGTTTAGGGTTTTTAGTCCATAATTTGTGTATTTGTAAAAAAACATATGTTCCTTTATGCCATGATGAAAACACCGTGTGAAGCTCTTAAAATGTAGCAACGGCTTTGGACCAGTGCATACTTAATGGGGATCATTGTTAAACAGACAGACACGATGCTATTCGAATGAACATTGCACGGTCTTCAAAAATCTCATAATTTGAAATTTTTTAAAACCGAAATATACCCGTTCTCTGAGTATGAAATCTGAAGAAGTAGGCATGGTGTTCTACCAAATGGGTTTAAGAATGAATATTTTTATGCCTGTTTTGAGCGAACTATTTTTAAATTTATAAGGGCATAAAAATCGATAGAGATAATGCATACTAATAGTACTGAAAATGCGATTCCCAGGTGGCATATCAAAAGAAGAGGAGGCGTTCACCGGGAGGGGTTTGTTAGAGGTCTGAAGTTTCGATTAGTTACTTCGTCTATCCATCTTCCGTTACTAGAAAGTCATGCGAACAGCTCTCCTTATATGTGCATACTACTTAAGCGTACATTTTTAGCGACTGCTATTTTTGCAAGTGGCCGAGATGGAAGTGCATTCAAAAGCCAACACACTGAATCGTCTGAAATATCGTGGGATTATGCTACAAGCTAATCGATATCACTACTCCACTTAAATAACCCTTCCCAATCGAAAATATATTTCTGAATTTCAGTTAACATTTCATGAGATCGATCACTGACTGGGATTTTTTACACGAGGTTTATGTCGCCAGGTAGAAGCCAAGGAAATCACCGTTACTGCGGCAGTCTACATACCTCGGCTCTTCAATCCTTCTATACAAAAAACCGTATCTAAACTCAGCGACTTATTCCAGCCACTTCAACGTCCCCATTGGTTAGTCTCAGGCACCTGGAGTTCGCGTACTGCCAGGAGTGTGTTGATTTGCTCATCCGATACACGCACGAGGTAGTCGTGACCTCTCCACAGCGTGAACGCCTCGATTCTTAAGCACATTGCTTTTAGTGTACTGGCCGCCCTAACAAAAATATCGCTCAAACGACCAGTGCGGTGCCCGAGTGGTCTCTAAATTACATACCGACTGAAAATAGGTCTCACGAAAATAATGTTTCAATATATTTGGAATGCAAATGGGCAAGGATATGGTTGGTTGTCTCCCGTGACTTCTATAGTATTCCAGAAATTATTGCCGTACGAAAATGAAAATGGTCTCCTGACTTAGAACTAAGGAAATATGCAGACTTAAAAGTCAGAGTGCTGGAAGTTGAAAGCGCTCCTATGTTGTGAGAGTAGCATTGTTATTAAAATCCTTCCTACCCTGATTTACGCGGACTAAAACAGCGGATCCTTAGTTTGCGAAGGCTGTTTTGGTAAAATTTTCTCGTGCATTATTGTTCTTTCAAGGAGGCCTGTTTAAGTTAACGATGCGTTGTGCCGTGGTTACTAGCCCAGGACACCGGCTGGGTTTGAAATGCTTATTTACATCCATGGTAACCTGTTTTTTCTTTAAGCCGATTCTTGCAAAACGTCCACCTCATGAGAAAAATGTTTTTCCCCAGTCCATTAATTTAATAAATAAAATATGCCACTTACTACCCAAGTTACCGCCATTATATCCCGTCAGCTCCGCCACCAATTGCAATTCCCTGCCAAGCAAGTGTAAGCAGAAGTTTTTGGGCATCCTCCACCTGATTATATCTGATTGCGCTTATGCATTCACCTTCAATCACCTACAGGCCTGCATACGGTGGGGCACTGGAATAGGCCACTCCCGTAATACAGGTGACTTTGCGATAAATTTCAGGGAAATTAGTGGTATTGTTAGGATTACAGTTAGGGTTACGTTTAAGGTTAGGATTAACGTTAGGGTTTTTGTTAGATTTTGGGTTAGAACACGGGAGTAAGTACCCTTCCCGGAATTTAGCGCAAGACCACCTGTATTATGGGGAATTGCGGATTCCTGATTCCCTGTCATGCCGTGCTTACTACTGGAGTGGTCAGTGTTTCCTATATAGAGGCATGTTATCGTGTTTGTTAATCAATTTCCTATTTTATGCCACCTAGTACATCCTCACTTAAGTCGCCTTTTCTATTTGAAGTCGTGTTGAAGGATTTTAGCGAGTGTTTGCGAATGTCAGCGCCTTTTCTAGAAGCCCACATACGGCCATTTTCCCCTGCCATACTGTTTACGATGCTCGAAGATATCACTGTAGATGGGCTATTTAGCCCGTGTTAGGAGAAACTTTCGCCTCATCATCGCGTATCATGACCACTTTTACAGCACTGTTTTTTTTTCTTGAAAAACTTAGGTGTATCTCGAACGGCTTCTTTCCAATGTTCGATTCAAGCTTCACCGGCGGAACTGGAAGCGCCTTGTGCTTTGTGCAATACTACTCGCCAGCAAAGTCTGGGATGACCAAGCTGTGTGGAACGTGGACTACTGCCAGATCCTAACAGAATTACAAGTGGATGATGTGTACGTTGGTTTATAATTTCCATAGACCACTTTCCTTCCCTTTGCCGATGGTCTTCGACAGCAAACATTAATGATAGAGGAAGGCACACTTTCTGTCGGTACAATTGCTTGTGACATCTGGGCTTCAAAGTCTGCGTGTGTGCATGTTTGCCCCTCCCTAAAACGAGCCACGCGGTAAACACTGGAGCAACACGGAAGGATAGATCGATGTCCAGCAGGTGTTATCGAGAACGCGCATCCATAACAAAGGCCAACGTCGGAGTTGTGGCTGCAGGTCCAGGTGCAGGCACATACCACGCAGTTGGGATCCGCACCGCCCCCCCCCCCCTCCCTGTGGCATAAAGTCCTGGTCAGTGTACTTTGTAGATCAGAGTGTGTTAGCGTTCGCCTAGGTGCGGGTTTTCGCTGTGCCAGCCACACGCGCTTCCGCGTCCCTCCAGCCATCTCGACTTAGTCATGATACCGGGCTCGGGTGGATGAGGAGGAGAGAGTACGGCAGCTGCGGCGAAAGTCCGCTATCATTATAAACAAATTCACGCGCTAGTACCCGTCCCTGTTATCACTCTGCCGCGAAGCACACGGTGCACACACGACGGTCGAACTGTCATCTAGAATTTGCAAAAAACTATCTTGTAATGCCTGAGGGGCAAAACAGTGGTTTTAAGACTGAAACTAATACAGAATGCACTTTTGAAAGTAGCGTTTTATATCCATTGGTGAGGGCATCTAATATTTAGCCCTAGCCTGCCCGGTTTCAGCATAAATTAATCCAGTGGTCACATTTGACCTCTCTGGCAATGGATAGGAACCTGCCTACGGATTTTTTGTAAGGTAGTTTTTCTTCCTCCGACTTTTAAGACGTAGTCACGGTACCGTTTCGTAACTCTTTTATTCAGAATTTTTGATCCGCAGTTCGTGCGACATTTGGGATTCTCCTGGCAGATTTTTCCGGCTACTACTGGCAGTTTTTGGTCATACAAATTGGAACCTGAGTGTGGTACACTTTCAAGTTCCGAAAAGCCCGACACAAACTTTTCAGTAGACGTGGACGTTGTCAACCAGAATTGACCGACAGGTGTCTTTTTCAATGCCATGTGACGTTTCCTTAGGCATAATTATAAGGGGGCAGATTTGGACGCGTTATCTTCTACCGGATTTGACGTGTTTTTTAAATCACCCTGTCTGTCATATTAAAGCGTCTATAGCTGGCCCTTTTTGCTCGCTGAGGTTCGAAGAGCGCGAAATGTCGTCCCACACTTGGCAGATTCTTCCTGACACTATTTGCATGTTTTTAACGTCATAAAGCACACGCTCAGTTAGCCAGAGTTTTGAACTCCAATGCTGATTGACCATACTTCTTATAACGCTGAAACATTCTATTTTCCCTCCCATAGGAACGAACTAGAGCGCCAATTCCTTGACATGATTCAGTTCAACATCAATGTCCCGAGCTCCATATACACCAAGTACTACCTGAGCATCCGAATTCTGACCTTGGGAGGATACAAACTTACTCAGTTATCCGTTGAGCGAGCCCAAGAGCTTGAGGTATGTCCACAGCATTCTTTGCCACCCAACAGGTTAGGCTTTGCGATAAAAACATTCGTGGCATTTGAATGAAATTAACAGCCAAACAGCCGAATGCTAACTTGAACAATCTAACTCGCATTGCCTCTTGGGCGCACGCAATCTAGAAAATATTCCTTTGTGAACCGCAAATTATATATTCCAGATAATTGAAAAATCAATATAACATCCATCTACCTACCCATATAGGTGACGTAGCTCATGCAATGTGCCAAAACTAACCGAAACTCTCCAGTTAATCAGAAACCAGCCCAAAATACATCTACCAGAACAAAAAGTTAACTATAAGTGAGCTCCAGCTAAGTGAAATCACATGAGAATGGTGAGTAGTCAAATTATGTTGGTCACCAATAAGAGCTTTCTTAAGAAGGGTGGAAATGCCGAAGGCGCAAAAAAACCGTGTCAAAGGTGATGCAAACGACTTAGCAAATAAAACAGCATATGCACAACACCCTTCAAAGTAACAGTTTTGCATAGTCGTCAGTGAAAATGTCTTCCAAAAACTAGTGTACTATGCACTGTGGCAGTTAGCAAGCCGTCTGATAATTAATTATATGTTTCAAGGTGTCGTTACGAGAATTGGGTGTAATTATTTTCCTTTATCCGCTAGTTGGGACGTGGTTAATTGATTCCGCGGACAATATCACCGCAAGAATTAACGTTTTCATAAGACCACGTGTCACGAAGCCAGTTATTGACTACGAGATAGGAATATAAGCAGGAGACGCAATCATAAGCGCGCCATCTATGTACCAGGCGAACCTTTCTTCCATAAAAGCGTCTTGTACTGTCTCGTAACGATGGAGTCCGCCGAGTCTCAAGGGGCCTAGAAATGTCAGCGGAAAAATCGCGGTCTTCAGTGTTCTCAATCGATTGCCCGCAACGGTGTTCCCGTTTTTTTACATGTAGTTACCCCAACCTTCTACGCATGATGGTTTTTTTGGAGCTTTTATGTCGGATGTTCTGTTTCATACAGGTGGCAGTTCGAGGCAGGTAAAAATGGATCTTCTCACCAATAGCCCACGACGCATATGTTCTTGGTCAATTGAAATACGTTCGCTAGTAAGTTTCCACCTGTAACACGGGGTGGTCCATGTTTCCGTGTCTACCTCGTGGTGCAGCCGTGGACCTCGTAGTTTGCAACGCTCGAACCTTCCTGGGTGTGTGTGTGTGTGTGACGGTATGCCCGCGGTGTGGGCCTCCTGTGCGCGTAGCGGCGCGCCTGTGTGTGCATAGCCTTGTCTGATGCCGCATCCTCTGCCACGTTTATGCGCACAGAGGCGAAGACACCGGCCTAATCATCACCAGTTGCAGAACTTACACACGGTTATGACTCCACACACGCAGCCGCTAACAAGCTTCCACCGAGCAACTTAATGCCTACCCGTGCATGTTTTGCGAAATCGTGCAGAGTGAGAGGACTTTACTGAAAAATAACCAGTCTTACCTCCATTTTAAGTGGTCAGGAAGCCCTACATTCTGCAGCATAGTCAACGCGGACTTTCAGATAAGGCCTTTGTAGGCTAATCGTATTATTAGTGGATGATCGAACTGACGCTATCCGAAGATTCGAATCCGAATGATTAGCAGGAAGTAACCTAACTTGAGGCCAGAAGTTCCACAGTCCGTCACATGTCCACTTTGGTTGCGATTTCCAACTCACGACAGTCCAGAAGAAGTGGCTGGGGAAATGGGCCTTGTAAACTTTCGTTTTTGCCTTCAGAGGCCTGGTGCTGAATAATTGTCTATGGGTTCGGTAGTGAGCTGCCGAACTGCTTCAGCCCAATTACCGAAGTCTAGATGATCAGCTGCGGGTAAATATAATGTTGCGTATTCTACTTGCTGACTTAACATGTTACGTACTAAACCCTCTTACGCAAAATGTGCTTCAGGGATATATTTTGTCCGCTAAAAGATTTCTGATGCTGATTGGAAGGCAACGCTACCTTCTATTCGGACCAGTCCCTAGAGTAGTAGATGTCCTAGACGTCATTTGCGTATTTGTGCGTGTTTTGCTAGTAGAAGACATTAATCTAGAAGAGACTAGTTTGTCAAAACAACCGCCGACGACACGAAGCGTGGCCTTTTGGTCTACCTAAGCCAGATGTGGCAAGGTGGAATATGTGTGTTATTGTCAGAGAACTAGAGGTTTTTCGTCTTTAAAGATGTTGATCTGTAAATATATATCGACACAGCCGCATTATCCCGTCATATGCGAGTATTGCATAAATGGCATCAAAAATATCCACTGCCAAACGGCCACGTTTTGATACAGAGTAAGACACTTACATGTAGTCTAGTTTCTGCTAACATGAATTTAGAAACCGGGCAGACACAGCATCAATCGGTGAAAAACTATTTGAATGTTTATATTAGCGCTCGGTAGTGCATTATACCCCTAGAACGGGACGTAAAAACAAGCAACGATGACAAAAATGGTTCCAAGGGACGAGGACTCTTGTTGATTGTGGCAGAAGCATTGCCAATATCGGTCATGGAAATGCAAAAGTGGGCCGAATGTTCCATTCCTCTCTCAGTACTTTAGTAAAGTATGAGAGGCGCATGCACTCATCAACGAAGTATTTCAGTAAGAGACATTCTAAAGAGGTAACGGTTATGCACAGGAACGTGGACTACCCGTGTTACAAATAGCAGCTTACTAGCGAAGGTATTTCATTTGACCAAGAACATATGCATCGTGGGCTATTGGTGGGGACGTCCATTTTTGCCTGCAGTTATACGGCATCTTTAGGTGAATTTTCAGCTATGCCTCGAACTGCCACCTGCATGAAACAGAACATCCGACATAAAAGCTCCAAAAAACCATCATTTTTAGAAGGCTGGGGTAACTACATGTAAAAAAACAGGAACATCGTTGCGGGCAATCGATTGAGAACTCTGAAGACCGCGATTTATCCGCTGACATTTCTAGGCCCCTTGAGACTCGGCGGACTCCATCGTTACCAGACAGTACAAGACGCTTTTATGGAAGAAAGCTTCTCCTGGTACACAGAAGATAGCGCGCTTATGATTTCATCCCCAATCCTCCAATCTCATAGTCATTGACCGGCCTCTTGACACGTGGTCTTATGAAGACGTTAATTCTTGCGGTGATATTGTCCGCGGAATCAATTAACCACGTCCCAACTAGCGGATAAAGGAAAATAAATACACCCAATTCTCGTAACGACACCTTGAAACATATAATTAATTATTAGACGGCTTGCTAACTGCCATAGTGTATAGTACACTAGTTTTTGGAGGACATTTGCAGCGACGACTATGCGAAACTGTTACTTTGAACGGTGTTGTGCACATACCGCTTGGTTTGCTAAGTTGTTTGCATGGATATGTACTACGTAGGTGAACATAGTTGACACGGATTTTTGCGCCTCCGTCATTTCCACCATTTTTAAGAAAGCTCTTATTGTTAGCCAACCTAATATGACTACTCACCATTGTCATGTAATTTCACTTAGCTGGAGGTCGCTTACAATTAATTTGTTGTTCTGGTAGAGGTATTTTGAGCTGGTTTCCGATTAACTGGAGAGTTTCGGCTCTTTTTGGCATATTGCCTGAGCTATGTCACCTATGACGCATTGTTTGTGCGACGTCCGATCATGCGTCGTCTCGCCGTCTATGAACGGTCTTGAGCACCCAACTTTCGGCATATTTTTTCGTAGTTCGTACTGCCTCGCCGTGTCATAGGTCTTTTTCAGGTCGAGGGCGATCAATAATCTGGTTCTCGTTTCGTAAGTGCTCTGTCGTTAGCGCTTTGCAAAGGTAGTGTCTGCGACTCCACGCCTTTTCATGAGTCCATACTTTTTTCTGGCATGTGCATTAAGACTATTGAAATAGAAACCGGAAAATATTTTGCCAGCAGTACTGGGGGGAGGTTCCGCGGTGATCGTCTCAATGTTCTCGATGGTGTTCTTCCGCTTTGGTGCGAATGAACTTTGTTTGCATTTTTAAAATCTGCTGGTATTGTCGCCACACATCCGAGGGAAGTGAAGTCAAGTCCGTGAGCTCAAATTCCTTCGAAAAATTACGAAATTTCCACCACGGTCTATTTCACTGCTCTATTAGTCTTCTACAGAGTGTATGGGCGTTACATTTCGGCATTGGTTTCTGCCTGCGGAAGTTTATTAATAATTTCCTCGCACATTGCAGATACATGATGGAGGGTGCGCATGAGATGCTCAAGTCAGTACTGGGGGATCAGGGATTTCTCTAAGGGGCTGAGAGCTATGTCGTCTAAGCTGCATGTTGCTGGAGTCTACATGCATTGAAGTCCGCATTGGTGATCACCGATAAGTCCTTCATTTCACTGCGGTTTCATATATCTTCCGAGTCAGCCAGTTTTTTGCGTTTCCTCCAGCTCCCACCGCGCTGTGCTTCGACATTAAAAGACAGTGGCTTTGCCGTTATTAGTCAAGTTATTGCCAGTTTTGCCCTCTAAACGCACACCGAATTTCTATACTGTTGTCAGCAGACCCGTATTGCTGCATCCACGGACTTCCTAAACACGTATTTCATGAATTTGAACAAAGTCGAGTTAGGTTAATCCGTGGGTTATTTCGTTACGTGTTCTTGTTCTGTGGGCTGTTTCCATGTGCCATGAATAGTACTTAACACCCCCAAAACACCTGTGCGCAGGTGGGCAAAATCTCTCGGAATTTGATGATCATTAAATTATACCGGCATTCTCCGTGACGCCATTTGCCGTCACGCGCTTTCGTGGGAAATATTGTACTCTTAAGTAAAATTTTACATGCAAATGTAAGTCATATCAAGAATGGCATATACGAGTCGGCAGCCAGATTTCACTTGACAACCGTCTTACGAAATCACAGTTGATAAACTGAATAGGAATTTTTCGCTTCACGTCTTCACCATAATGCGGCTGCGCTATCAAAGTTTCAGCATCTCACTGGTAATGAGCGCGCCGGTCGATTCCTATATCTGGATCTGCGGAGTCCGTTTCTGACATTTCATCTTGGGTATCTTGGTGTTTTTAGTCGAGACGGATGACTGCCGCGTGTATCTGTGCTGCACAGGTCTGAATTCAACCTTTCGGCAGTCTTGACAACGAGGAGCGTCTCCACACTTTGGCTAAATACTTGAAATTTACAATTTCCATTCTATGTTGTCTTTGTGATGTTCATGCGTCAGATGATAACTAGCCATTTCACTTTCATCGCCAAGTTTATTTTAACATGGGCAGCACAGAGTACTTTCAGCGAAGTCTATACTCATTGCTTATGTAGAAGACAGCGAAGCATGTCTCTGTTGCGCGATGGAGCACCAGTCAGTTTAGCGTTCAATCACTGTTCAATCTCGTTTTTATTTCGTCCGGGTTTAAACGCTCTTACGTTTAATTAACATGCCTTGCTTACTTTTTCCACCCTTTCCCTCTTTACACTTACAGGCCTGTTCGGTGGCTTTCAAGGACATGACAGAGACACAAAGAAGGCGGACTCTGTCCATGAACCTGGGTTCGAAACCACCCGTACGCCCCATGATACTCAGCTAGCCCCCCAGTACAGCCCTGTTCTCCTGCTCACACTAAGTTTTAATATCTTTTTGCAAAGAGGAAGGTCTCTTTTATCACGCGATCCCGTTTTTTAGTGATACTTGTTAAAATAAATTCGGACCCCTTTTTTTATCTGGACTTTTGTGCTGATCCCTTTACTGCTCATCATCTGACTCTGGCCCGCTTCCGCTCCTCCTCCTCTACTGGGGTCAAAACCTGCCTACAGTTGTTTCCCATTTTTTTCAATGATTTCTAGTTCTTACTTTTCATTTCTTTCTCCTCCTCACTTCGAGTTCTTCATTCCGTGCACGTAACCTTTCGTTTTGCTGTTCATGTGCCTCGAACTACATCATGCCCTGCTGTCTTGTTTCCTTGCGATTTTGCTCGGGTTCGTCTTTCATCCCCCTGCCGTAGGCCCTTACTCTTCTACCGGCCTTTGCTGCAGGACAGCTGTTGCCACCGGCGTTTGGCGATGCATTTAAACCCCTCCTACCGAACAGCGCCCCACCGCTATTAACCTGTGTCCCTCCGCCACACCCCCCCCCGCCGCCCCCCCCTCGCCTGACTCCAGCATTTAAATACACTGACCGTGGTTTTTTGATACATATCGATAAATCTGCTGCCTCCATTCCTATATTTGCGTTTCCACGCCAGCCGGTTTCGCCCCAATATGCGTACACGAATTGCCGCCAGTCGTGAAACATGTAGTTAAGTTTGTCGAAAAAATGCCGAACTGGTGTTTCTGTGCTGTACTTAGATGCAGCCGTGTCTTAAATTCAGCCAGGGGTATGCTTATTTTGCCGTATACTTGCGCGGATGCCGGTTATTGTCGCAAAGTCACGTCTCGGTTGATTCGCTCTTTCCCAGTGCTTTTTGGGTGTGTGTAAATTGAATTATTTTCCACCCGGGTTTTGACTATACATCTGTTATTAGCGCATTTTTCGCACGGGTTTATTTATTGAACAGCATAATTCATAAGCCTCGATTTTTCGATCTCCAGAAGGCGTTTTTGGGTTTAAATGAAGCGGTTGGCTACCCAGTAGGTTGGTGGACAACAAATGTGGATTTTCTTCTGTATGCTATACTGGAATATAACTT